TCGAAAATCGACTGAATACAAGTTTTATGCTCCAAGTACAATTAGCACTGGTGACAAGTACCAACTGTACTCATCATCAGTACTGAAAGTACTTGTACTGAGTACCGAGCTGTACTTCTCAAAAGTAGAAAAAATACTTGAGACAAGTAGTAATAGTAGGGGAGGATGGGGCAAAATGGTCCCCCTTCAATCGTCAATATTTTCCGATTCAATAATCCGATTGGGATGAGTTAGAGCTCGTTTTGAAGAATGAAAAATTATCTTCAAAATGAAGTTGAAACTGGGAATTTTCACAATGTCATTCACAAGTTATTGACAATTGAAGGGGGGCCGTTTTGCCCCACCCTCCCCTACTTTAATCCAGTACCAATGGATTTTCGCGGAATATTACAGTAAGATTCATCATACAATGGAGATCGTTGAAAAACGAAGAATTAATGCAAATAAAATTATTGTTTATTGTTCGTTTGCCCCTCAAATGCTTGAAAATTGAAATGTACTGGACTACAGTCCAGTGTAATAAATTCTCGAGCTACAGAGATTTTTTTTTCAAAATTTTTCAAAAGATGTGTAGAATAACAATTACCAATTAAGTTTTCCAAATTTAATTTCCAAATAGTCCTTTTTTTTAATAACAAAAAAGGTAATATTCATGCGAAATAGCCAGCAAAATGATTCTCAAAATAATTGTTATATTTTATATTGAACAAAAAAATTGAAGTATTAATCTTTTGAGCTATCTTGTGTGAAAATTGCAATTTCATTATGCGACAAAGAATGAAATTGCCTATTTAGAAGTCGAATTTTGAAAAAAAGTAGCTCGTAACCGTTATTCTAGACATCTTTTGAAAAATTTACAAAAGGAAACCCCTGTAGCTCAAAAATTGAGTACACTGTGCTATTTTTCTTCATTTTCAAGGTCTTGGGGGCAAATAAACAATAAATAATCGTTTTTTTTCCCACTTATTCTTCGTCTTTCAACATATATAAATAATCAATCATCAATGTGTGATAAATCTTACTGCAATATCTCGCGATTTTTAAACTCATCGTAACCTCCCCTCGATGAAATTTGGTCATTGTCATCTGAGAATGATAATGATAATGATAATGAGAACGATAATGAGAATGATAATTAATGATATGAAATTCCCCAACAAAATAACCAACCAAAAGTACTGGAATCAAGTCATAAAAGTACTCGCGAGAAATAGAAAAATTACTTGCTCCAAGCATTAAAACTACTTGTGAGAAGTAAGAAAAATGCTGACAGGAAGTAATAAAAGTACTCCCTCCTAGTACTTTTTCTACTTGCTTAGCAAATATTGTACTTCACCCAAGGACATGAAAAGTACTTGGGACAAGTCGTTTCCCAACTTTTCACAAGGAAACTTCCAAGTAGAATTCAGTACTGGTGAGTAGTAACTTTTTTTTAGAGTGTGTAATTGTCTTATAATTCATTCGAACAAATCTCAAAATATTCTATTCTCTACTTGTTTTTTATAAAACGCCCATCTCATTGCAATGCAAAATAATGAATTTGCTCGGTGTTTCTATGCTATATTTTTAGTGGATTTTGCTCCTGAAAATTTGATTTTTCTACTTATTCCGCAGACGCAATTCTGCACAGACAAATCGAATTTCTGCCTCTAAATATACGCATTAATATATGTGACCGATCGTTTCTCGACGATAACTGAATAAATAATTGTTTAAGTGAATCCAATTGTGATTTAAAATTTTCGTCCCAACGCCATCCTGACCGAGTTCGATCACAAAATTGATTACATCCTTTGTTGTTGAAAAAATGTATTTTGAAACCAATATTCAGGAAAATGTGAAAAATTTTAACATCGGGGCAATGTTGATCGCCAACAGGGCGACACTGTTGTATTCAATGAATCATTGAATTCAGTTTAAAATACCTCATCATAGAAATTGCATTCGGAATCAAATTGCTAATTTATTATCAAAAATATATTACTTATGCCGTGACGAAAACAATTTCCCATTTGTTCTGGATTTGAATGCGTTATGAACGCTCATTGTAAGCGTTTACAAACTGATCCGAAATACCTCTCTGATTTGTAAGCATCAAGCGTAGACTTCATATCATCTGCTGTAATCCACCGACTGGCATCAATATCGAGTAACTTTCCTGAATTATAGTCAAAACGTGTGGCTCGGATTTCCAGTTGAATCGGTTTACCACGTTCTTCTGATTTTCGTGAAAACCTGACGCCTGTAACAACGAACAAATCATCATTTTTTCTCCATTATGTAATGAGTCGTACGATGAACGAAAGATCGAACCAGTTATGAGGGAATCCGTCGGTACGTGTAACGCATCCAAGTTAATGGCTCTGTTAGCCTCAGTGAAAATTGCAATATCTTTCTCAGGCTCCAAAATATTGACGGACGATTCGAAGAAGACGTATTTCCTTCGTTTGACCGACTCCGTCTGGCTGTAAGAAAGATCTTCAGATTTCTGCCAAGAACTGCTGCGCGGCGCAACTGTACCGCCTGGTGCAAGTCGGCTCGTTTGGATTTTCAGTTGAATTATCGAACCTGTGTTTACTAATTGAAGACCAGTGACAATCCTTAAAGGAAGAAAGAACTCATTGCGGAACGATCAAGGGACGGCGTTGAGATCTCAAGGTTTACATCATCCTGTTCACTGAGAAAAATCCCACGCTCGTTCAAGGGCGCGACGCTTAATTCAAGTCATTGTGACCATAAATGCAATCAAAGTCGCGGGACTTTGATTTCAAACAATTTCTAAAAAACAAGTTCTTGAATTAAAGGCGAGGGAATCTTTGTTCCAAAGGCCTGCGAGTCTGACTTTTGCAATTTAATGACGTAAGGAATTGAATCAACTTCCTAAGCCTTCAATTTTGATGGATATAGAAATAAAAAACATGAGGAATCTTAAACCAAAGGTTCCTACCTTTGGATGATTTCCTCTAATGTTGAACCCAACACCGGTGACGTTGAATTAACCCCTCACGTATGGCGTCCATATAACGCGCCTTGTCCCAACGGCCGGGAGACTTGCGGCGCGTCAACTCCGTTATTCAATGAGCGATAACTTGAAAACAGGTGAACGAAAAAAATTGAAATAACATGCATTGGCTGCATTAAACTGTAAAATCAACTCCCTAAGAACTGTTTTTTCCCCATAATTTCCTCATTTTTTCCTCCAATTTCAATGTTTGCCGATAATTGGTTGCCGAGATCTTCGAACATGCAAAATTTATTTATAAAAAACAAATTATTCGATAAATCGAAATTTAACTTCTGCCATTCGATAGAAGGATCATTAAAGTATTTTCAGTAAAAATTTCAAAATTTTTGGGGGAAATTTTGTCGTTAAACAAGATGATTTAATATGATTGAATCGTTTCGATGGAAAATTTTCATCTACAACTTTTGTTCATAGAAAAAAATATTATAAATGCATTTAAAAAAAATAGTTCACTGCAGAGACAATTCCATTGACTTTCCAAATATTTTTTCCAAGTGTCAATATGTCCCTTAGAATTCGAGAAAATGATTTCTTCTCACCGATAGGACAAGCTTATGGGTCGACGCATGGTATCGACGCCGTACGTGAGGGGTTAAAGACGCGCTTTTTCGACGGCATAAAATACGACTCCAATGGCCGAAAGCAATGATGAAGACACCCTCGATTCAACAGCGCAATTTTGAAATACAGTCCCCGCTTTTGAATTTGTTTCAAAGTCGAGCGCGCCTGTGAAATTCACGACAGATTTTCCTCAGTGGATCGAACACAACTTACATGTTATCCGTTACGTTTGACACCACCTCTCTCAAGCTAACAAATTTCAAAACGTTTCCCTCATAACTATCTTCTATGCAAGTACATACACATATTTCACAATATGTAAAATATCTCCACCATTCATCGAATGTGCGTAATTTTCCTGGACAGCCTTGATTATTCTTGCCATACACCTTATCTAATCCATCCATGAACCAGTGATAACGACGCCGCGAGTTAGTGTCTCCCTGAAAGCAGAATTACTCGTATATTTGACTAAATGTCCAGAAAATTTTCTACAAAAACAACTCCACGTGGTAGATTTCATAATTTCGGATTGATTTAGCTCGTTCAGTCGAATTCACTAGTGAAGTGGTAAACGGAGATAAGTCAACTCATCTCCCAGTTGAGTTTTTGAGGAATATTTCCGAATCTAAGGGAGATAGCAAAATTTTCGTAATTACATTTGTTGTAGCACTCAATCGGCTCCACAAAAAAGGTTGTAACAAAAATTTTGCTAGCTCCCTTAGATTCCGAGATATTCATTGAAAACTGGTCAATAGCCAAAATTGAATTATCTCCTTTTACCACTTCGCTACTGAATTGAATCTCACCTCATTCTCCATGCACACGCTCACTGGGGATCTTTTGAACATACAATCCCGTACTGAACCGTAACAAAAGTGTGGTCCTAATTTACGTCCTAATTCCTCATAATCCCCCTTAAAACATGCATCATACTTTTCATAGAGTTGTCTATCGCCGTCGCTGCATGCACCAAAACAACTCCCACTCTTCCTCAAAGCAGTTTCGTGAACTACCACAGTACCCAACAACCTTTCGAATTCATGGAATGTTATTCCTGCAACAATGAATGTCTCAATTGAATTTTGCCAGTTGGCTTGATTTACTAGATCAGCCCAATCTAGTTCATACGCCAGGGGCATTTTTGTGTCCGTTGAGATGTCCAGAAGATTTTATTCATAAATGTTTATACTTATCTTCATTTTATTTCTCTGCATTGAATTTTTTTGCCGTTTCAAACAGTCACAATTTTATGAAGTGTTTCCTGAGTTATATGACATTGCGCTCTATTCGTATTAGTTCACGAGATAATAACTGAAAAAATTCTCAGCGCAGGTTTTTGAAAAAACGGTTATCGTATGTGCAATCAGCGACCGTGAAAACAAAGTCCAATGATACTTGATTCAAATACTCTTTCTACTTAATTCAAGTCAGCACGTGCTTAAATCAAGTAGGAAAGGACTTGATTCAAGTCAAGGTTTGTTTGAATGAAATCGAGTTCTTCTTAAATCAAGTCGCCAAATCGACTTGACATTTTTTTGGAGATACTTAATCCAAGTCGATGAAATCTACTTGGAATACCTATCATTTTTTCTCAGCTTGATTCAGTCCTACACAGATCAATTAAAGACTCGTCATCGAATCAAGAACTTTTTTTGGGGATGAATTGAAACCTTCGAAGTTTTCATAATTCATTTCCGAGTGTGGACTCTCAATTTTCATAAAAACTCCAAAGCTTCGTTGACAGATAACAGACACTTTTCGAATCAGCCAAACCTCGTTTATGAGGTCCCATAGGAAGACAACGTCGTAGAGTTCTCGGTGATAGGCGAAGTGTAGCTTCGAACACATCTTTATAAGCTTGAGTGAACTTGGCGAAACGCTTCTCCTTTGCGTCTACTTCGGATGCAAAACTACCTGCACAGAATATTAGAGTGATCCCCAAGTCAAGTTCAAGTTCAAATACTAAAATCAAACTTACTGTTGTGGAACCCTTCAAGTGTTTTGTAAGAAAAACGGAACATATGAAGAGCTAGCTTTTCCGTTTGCATTATTCTTCTATACAAACTGTAGATGAAGTCGTGGGGCGATCTCGGATAATCACATGACGAGGAAGATGTTAACTGCAACACGGACGAAAAAATATAATAGAAAAACCTATCGAATTCGTTAGAAAATTCTATTGAATTTTGATTGAACTGTTCTATTAATTTCTGGCCGATTCTATTGAAATGTTCAATAGAAAATATTCAGTAGAAAAAGTCAATAGAATTCAATTTTTCTACATAACTTATTCTATTGAGATATTTTCTATGGAATTTCCTCGGCTCAAGTTTTTTCGTTTGATTTTCTCGATGAGAAGAAAAGAAAAATAGAACGAAAAAAACTTGAGTCATCATGAGTCGAGCAAATTCTATAGAAAATATAGGAAAAGAATAAGTTATATAGAAAAATCGAATTCTGTTGACTTTTTCTATTGAATGTTTTCTATTGAATATGTCAATAGAATCAGCCAAAAACTAATAGAAAGTTTAACAGAAATTCAATAGAATTTTCTAACGAATTCGATAGGTTTTGTGTTGTAAGTCAACTATTATATGATACTCTGGCTAATGAATAGTAGAAATGACCAAACCTTCAATTCAATCAGGTGAAGTATTAAAAGAGAGTCGAATGGATCGACTCCCTTGTTCAGAAGTATTATGCAAGAAATGTCATTCAAGTTTTTTATGATGTCGTTGTCTCTGCTAACCGTTTTTTCAGCAAAATCTCTTAATGTGTGAGGATTTGTCACATTGGTATGTGACAAATAGTATTGATACTCTTCGTGTAACTCGTTGATTCCCGTCATACTTCGCTCCAGATTTTCCATGTGTCTGAAAATTCTCTCCTTTGTCGGCGAAGAAGACAGTATGTAATTTGTACCCTCAATTGGATGTACATGAATTCTAATCTGGTCAGCCATATCACTGGTAGCTTGAAATATCTCTGCTAGTGTTCCACCCATGAATAGTTTTTTGTCACCTTCTATAAAGTCTTTCAGATCCACAGGTCTTTCTGCTCGCAGAAGGCTTGCGGTGATCACGATGACGAAAATCGTCAGCATGAGTCTGTCCATTTTTTCTAGATGTCGGACAACTCCGTTGTCAAGTAAAAGAACAAGTCGAAGTTTTTCAATACTGAAACAAAGGTGGATTTTGAGCCTCATTTATATCCAATATTACAAAAATTCCTCTGCAGGAATTGCAGAACGGCTAGGAGAATATGCGGAAAAACCTTCGGATTTGCGTAAATTCTTATCAACAGCCAGTTCATACGTGGCTTGCGCGCATTATCTCAATACTGTCTGATTTTTCATAGCGAATATAGAGGCGAGTCGGTGAAAACGGACCATCTTTAATGGGCAATAATTCGAGGACAGCTGATCATCTTTTTTTCATTTCCGACGCATTTTTTCAAGCTTCACGGATTAAAATGCGGTGCTATATTTTGGTCTTGAAACCATAAAAAATTATACCAATCAGCGAGGTGTCTGCTCTCGCTATCTCCTGAACAATCGCCGATTCCCATCTCACCCATACTTACGCTATAAATCTCTTGTACCCTTTTTTTTACAGGTCTGAGGATACGAGTGGCGAATTTATTCTTCAAGCTGTTAACATGCTTCCTTTATATATTCAGGGTTATCACGGACAACGTTCCTACATTTGCGTCATGGTGAGTGAACAATTAAAAAAAATACTTTTGCGAAGGAATTATTTTCTTCGGAGTAGAATTCATTTTTTTAGGAGCGTATTTCTCCAGGCCAGTTATTTCCTGGTGGTACAACTCCATCTCCAAATATTACAATTATATTGAATTATGGGATGATAATACTAGGGGAGGGTGGGGCAAAACGGCCCCCCTTCAATTGTCAATAACTTGTGAATGACATTGTGAAAATTCCCAGTTTCAACTTCATTTTGAAGATAATTTTTCATTCTTCAAAACGAGCTCTAACTCATCCCAATCGGATTATTGAATCGGAAAATATTGACGATCGAAGGGGGGCCGTTTTGCCCCATCCTCCCCTACATATGATCTTGAATGAACTCCATTGACAATTATTAACATTTAGAATTATTCCAAATTATTTTACCTAAGAAAAATCTTAAAAAAAACAAATATTTTTCAAATCAAGTAACCAAGTATTTCTCAAATTTGAAAAAAATGAACAATAATGAAGGGTGTTCATTGAAGATCGTATGTAGCATAATCATCTCATTCAACATAATTGTAATATTTGGAGATGGATATGGGCCACGTAAGTGTCCTAGCTAGGAATGACGCCTGGAGAAATACAAATTAATGAGTTAATTGTAGCAACCATCATTGATACTGAACCATTTTTCTGTTTTGTCTACCAAAATCATCTGAAATTCAGATATTAGCTTTTGCTAAGTTTCTCCTTGAAGAGACAAAAATTGAAAGTTAATATTTCGTCCCGAAAGTATTCGCCAAAAAATCTTAAAGAAGAAACACTTGATAAATGGTTTGGGAACTTGCACTTGCCACTGCTCCTTAACATAGTCTCAAGATTGTCATAACAGATGGAATACAAATAGTATCCTATTTGTATTCCGTCTCCCTCATTTTGTCATTAATTGATTAATCAAGTAATTAATGAATCACCAAATTAATGAATAATAGCAATCGTCATTGACAATGTACCATTTTTCTGTTTCGTCTACCAAAATTTTCTGAAATTCAGCCATTACCTTTAGCTAAGTTTCTCCTTGAAGAGACAGAAATTGGAATTTAATATTTCCCTCCGAAAGCACTCACGAAAAAATTCTCAGGAAGAAACACTCAATAAATTGCCCTGTGCACCATATAAATAATAGCTTCTCATCTTTACGAGATTGACATTGTTCACTACTCCGCACTTGCAATTGCTTCTTCTACTTTTCAGTTACGGTTGTACACCAGGAAACAAGTCGGAAATCCTGGCATCGCAGATGCTCACGGAAGAGGAGTTTCAAGACCACTCCACCATCAACTGGGACGCAATTCTGTGGGTGAGACGACCTTTAGAGCTGTGGGTCGTTCAGGTTATTCTAGCGATGGTATCTCTTGCCGAGGCATTGCTACTCGCCTATCTCGGATACAAGGTATGTTTCTGGTCGTTATAATAATTATGGAATAGCTCGTATCAAATTTTCAGTTGAATATTTCGCTTTCTATCTCCCCTCTCATTCCTTTTCAGGATTAAATTGCACAAGTTTCAAGCATCAGCTGATGAAAAATATTAATTCAACATAGAAGTCCAATTTAGTACAGAACTCCTCCGGAGGTAGAAAAAATGTAGCGTATTATGTGTATAGAGACACAATAATAACTCGTGGTTGTGGAATATAAAGGCGTTGTCTTTATCGCAGAGATGTGTTTACATCGAATATATAAATCGGACTGAATTCAACTGAGCTATTCGTCGGGGAGCGTGTGAGTTTAAATACCTTCTGTTATGGAAGGTTCGAGAACCATCCAAAAATCTCGTGAGAGACAAGTACAGAATTACGCCCGTCTCGACAATGACGGTATAGAATATTCGAGACGCGTTAATAAACTTCGAAACAACAGTTCGTTTGTGACTCGCACCACAAAAAAAATCATCAGTTGAGAATCCTATCGGTATTCACAAATTAAAAAATGAGCGCAAATGTAATTCCATATGGCAGTATTGACTATGGCCAGAAAAAAGTTGGATTAGAGCTTAAATGCCCACATCCACGTAAGCACACATATTTTCTCCACAAGAGGGCAGAGCACCGCTTTGAAGTCTACACGCAGCAATGGGCGCGACCACTTTGTCCACCTCCAGTTGTCCACGTCAAAGATTGACACATCACTGAAAGTACACATGCTTGATTGCCACACCCTTTTTTTTAATCGTTATTTTACATCGTTTTGGCCCGGTTGGGGTATGCTGCGATGATGATCAAGACTTTAAATTGTTTAGATCTCACCCTTCTACCCGGCCGGGTTTTGAACTCGGAACCTTTCGCATGTGAAGCAACACTGCGAAAACTAATGTCTGAATCTCAGACACTTTTGTAAGCACTTTTGGGACGATCTTGTAGACACTTTTGAGAGATTAAAATGTGCCTGAATCAATAGAGGTATTTCAATTTCAGACACCAAGATGTCTGAAATTAAGATACAGACATCAGTTTCAAACACAAGTGGTGTTTGAAATTTTCAGACATCAGTTAGATTTTCAAACATTTTTAAAGATTCAGACGTTTTTTGCCATCTGCCATCTTAAATTCAGATGGTTTTCAGACACCTATTGGGTGTGTGAATATGACTCCGTCATTTTTTGTTCAAATAAAACACATTTGCTTGTTTAGAAAATTAGAGAAAAGTTTATTGAAAGTATGCTCCATCTGCAGCTACAACCTTCGCCCATCTTTCAGGTAATTTACGTATTCCTTGCCTGAAGAAATCCTGGTCGTTTGAGCTGATCCAATTATCAAGCCAAATTTTGATACTTTCGTATGAAGTGAACCGTTCTCCTGTAAGATCTGGCTGTAGTGTTCGGAATAAGTGGTAATCCGAAGGAGCTATGTCTGGCGAATATGGCGGGTGGAGTAGCACTTCCCAGTCCTGTCCATCTAAATATCTTTTCACAACTTGGGCGGTATGCTGTTTGGCATTGCCATGTTGAAGAATTAATTTACTGTGCCTATTCACCCATTTTAGTCGTTTTTCTTCTATGGCTCGCTTCAAACGCATTACTTGTCATCGGTAAACTTCGCCATTAATAGTTTGAGAGGGTTCGAGCAACTCATAATATACAACACCTCTCTGATCCCACCAAATGCAGAGCATAACCTTGGCACTGTGAATATTTCTTTTTGGCTGGGATGGGCCGGGTTCACCTGGCTTCACATAAGCTTTTTGGCGTTTAGGATTCTCATAATATATCCATTGTTCAGCTCCTGTGACTATTCGATGCAAAAATCTTTTTCTTTGCTGTCTTTGAAGTAGCATTTCACAAATTGTTGTTCGACGTTCCATGTCTCTTTCTTTCAATTCATATGAAACCCAGTTACCAACTCTTTGAACCATTCCCATTGCTTTTAAACGCTTTGTAACAGTTGATCGTTCAATATTTAATGCTGCATTCAATTCTGATTGAGTTTGGCAAGAATCCTCTGCCAATAATGCCTCCAATTCAGCATCTTCAAAATTTTTTGGTGGTTTTCCATGTTCTCTGTCCTCAGTGCCAAAATCATTCTTTTGAAATCATTGAAACCATCGTCAAAGTTGTATTAGATGGAGCATGCTCACCGTAAATCTCCACAAGCAAACGATGAGTTTCCGCTACACTTTTCTTTGCAATATAATAGTGTAATAACACTTCCCGCAAATGATGTTTACTTGGAACGAAAGCCGACATTGTCACGAAGATAAAAACACTTGTTGCTTACATCCCAACCAAATGTCACGTAGTGCGTTTGACAGCTGACATAAAGTACTATCGAATACAATTGTTGCCATTTATTATTGCACGTAAGCAATACTAAAAACGACATTTGTTGGGAAAGGGCGGAGTCATATTCACACACCTAATAGTTTTTGCAGTGGATGAGTCAACTTATCAGACATGAGAAATATCTTAAAAATTAATGTTGGAATGGACTTTTCCGTCTGAATCAAGTGAGATATCTTAATAGTGAAATGTTCGAATCGCTCATAAATAACTGAATTTCAGACACAGAAAATATCTAAAAATAAATACCTCAAATTTTTTAGACACAAAAAATGTCTACCATCATTTTCAGACAGAAATGGTGGTTGAAATTTTCAGACATTAGTCAGATTTTCAGACACTTTTGAAGATTCAGACGTTTTTTACCATCTAACATCTTAAATTCAGATAACTGTCAGACACCTGGTTTTTGTAGTGTGCCCTCTTGTGGAGAAAATGCGTATGCTCATGTAGATGTGGACATTTAGGCTCTGGCCCAACTTTTTTCTGGCCATGGTCAATACTGACTTTCTATATCTCTTCATTATAATTCGGGATACCCCGTATCAAATTCTTTCCAGAATATTTTGTTTCATCTCTTACATCATTCCTCTTTCTGAGTACTAGCATGACCGGATCTTTTTCTTTCATCCAAACAATGAAAACTTCATTATTATTTTATGGAAAAATGAGAAAGTGAAATCTACTGCATTTCAGACACTCATGAATGCATTATAAAAACCAGTAATACATCCAGTCAAATAATAATGACCGCGAAAGAGATCAATTCAGTACGCTGTACCAAATTTACTGGTATTGATGGAAACTTCTCCACTCCATTAGCATCTGCTTCCTTAATCCGTCTCATAATCGGTTTACTCGTACCACCGGTCAAGTGCCATTTTCACCACCTAATCGATTCTGCTTTGATCCGGTGCAAGGTTTTGCGATTTACTCGAGGTATAGTTAAGCTCAGTTCGGAAGTTTGAATCATTTACATAGTTAATATATACTACCCGGTGAAGAAACAAGTTGGCGGAAGTTTTCAGACCGTCTTTGGTGTTATTATCGTATTAAGCTGTTAGCTAATACTAATTTAGGGGAAAGATATATACGATTGGATGAGCAGTTGATTACTTATTCAATCAATGATTGTATCCACACGAAGGGTTTTCAATCAAAAAATATAATATAATATAGGGAAGGGTAGGGCAAAACGGACCACTGACAGAAAATTGATAATTTTTGCTTCCGAATCGAAGTTTTGTAATCGTGATTTTTTTCGGTTTCTCAATTTTGGATGAAAATGCCTAGAAATGCCATGAAACGTGACATCCCATTGAAATTTTTGGGGATATCATCGTTTTTGTATTTTTTTGTTCGGAATTCATTTTTGCGTACTATGACATGGGTAAAATCCAGGGAAACCTTTTGAAACTTTGGCTTCTAGTTAGGATTGTCAAGGAACATTTCTACATCAAATTTTAGATCGATATATTTGATAGTTCTTGAGATGGAACAATTCACCCAAAATTCTTGAGAAAAAAAATTAACGCATCTATATTTCACCTGAGAAAGCCATATAACATGTGTAATGAAATTTATTTTCAATGTGAGGAAACGAACATTAATTTTCGAAATTATGACACAGGATCGACCTCAGGACTATTAAAAAATTAATCAATAATAGGATCGCTAATATTCCGATGAGAATTTTAAATAATAATAGTTCGGTCCACTCAATATCCTCAAATGCGAAGCAAACAGTCAGAATTGTAACATGAATAACGATTGAAATGAATAACTCACGTAAGAGGTCATCAAACATTTTTATTCATTATTAAGAGTCGTCAAAATTACGATGTGTTAAACAAGATGACAAGTACCCGTTAGTCCAAAATTATCACTCCGAAAACATTTAATTTAATATTCCTCCCGACTGACCTCGATAACAATTTTCAAAAATTATAATCCGCTTATTCTCACTCCACAAATAACCCATTCAAATAAAAATATATGAATGATCTTAAATCCACATGGATCTTAATACAATACACATATAAACGCATTCCCCGAATTCTCAAGATACAGAAAAATTACTGAGATCACCCCAACACAATTGAATTGAAAAATATAAGAGAAAGTAATGACAAAAATATATGGCCCCTCTCCTCCTCCATGATCTACTTTGTTGATTCCCTTGTTTAGTGATAATATATGTTTAACTTATCTGATATGTCAGCTGCAGTCTGACGGTGTAATTGGGTTAATTTTTTTGTTTTTTATTTTGCACGTGCACTTTGTGCAACTTGATAAACCTTGGGATCCCACAATCGAAAATACTGAGAGATGTTAGTCGTGGGCCGGCTCGGAGGAAAGAGAACGAGGTGTCGAACTCTCGATTCTTCTAAGACTTCAGTCAGGTGTCATATAAACACTAAGATGGGTATATTAATTCCCCTTCTTTCCTTTTATCTTTTCCCAAAATTTCCTTCATCCGGCTCTGGTAATTCGATGCTTCTGTCGATAAAATCATTTACCCTACACATGGATATTTGGTTCTATTTTTTGAACACAAGCATTGGGAAGGATTCGGAAGCCTGCTATCAATGAAATTGGTAGAAATGAAAATAGGAGAAAAGAAATACGTGGAGAGTAGCAGGTATATGTAATCTGTCAAATGGCTTCGGTCGCACTGCTTAATTAGACATGAAATAAATATAAAAATATCCGTTTTGCCTTTAGACATACAGATTCCTAGGAAATATTGGTTTCTCAAAGTCATTTGTGGGTTGAGGTGATTAGCAAATCTGATGAAATTGCGGTTCAACGACAGTTCTTGTCTATAAAAACCTTGTGATGGTTACGGTCCAAGAAACTCACTTTTAATTCAACACATTCAGTGTTCCTA